TCCAGGCTGGAGAACTACTGAGAGCGAAAGCTCCTGGTTGCTAAGTCAATAAAAATCTCAGCAAGAGAGTAACTAATGGAGATAAAACAGCCTGTCATCCAGGAGAGCATGGCAGGGGTGTCACAACAGCTGTCTCACTTGAACCTGGGAGGCCGTCTCTCATGTTTTGAAAGTAACTGGTGACATCCGACATATGGACCGCTCTGCTATGCATGAAGAATTTGTACCAACTTAGGGCCCATAAAGCTGGAAATTCCCAGACACCTGCTCTGCATAAAGTCACCCTGCAGTGCAGACTTTTTTGCTAACGGCAGTGAAAATTTTTATAATTCAGTGAATTTTAAGGCAGTGAATTTTTAATAATTCAGAAAAGACATGGTAGCTCTTTCACAAGAGCTGAGCATTTGCAGGATTCCCACAGCACCAACTCAGCCCAGGCAGAGCCCGTGCCACGCAGGCATGAGCGGCACCAGCCCAGGGCATCAACAAACCTCGCCAAAAATCATACACAGGCAGAAGGCAGCACTTCAGAACGTATTCTTGAAATATAATATGATGAATTCTGATGTCCACAGATGGCAACCTGTTTATCCACTGCACATCTTCCCCACACTTCCTTACCAACCCGATTTCAGCTCGATGAAACAATCAAACCTTCCTGCCCTGCCCTCCCAGGCTGCCAAAGGAGTTCCAATTAGTGTCAATTGGGATAATAGCTCTATTTGCATTTTTAAGCTATTATTAGCAAGTTGTCAGTCAGCCAGTAATTTGTATCACTTTGGTATAATGAGTATTTAAATATTTAAAAAGAGAATGTTCCTTTCTACCACCCCCTTCCTTTTTGTGCTAAAATAATAATGGTTTTAATCAAAAGTAATTTGTATTAATATACATTTTGCCCCAGGTGTTAAGAGCAGTCTTCAAGAGCAGTGGTGAGTGATGTTAAGTAATGCAGTTTATTAATATAGACAACTACTTCTATCCTCGACAGCAGCAGAAATGGAGGCTGCTTTTGCAACCAGATCATTCTGACTCTCTTCTTGGCCTCTGCAAGATGATTGTGGTGTAGGAATTGAGGTCAGTTCCAATAATTTTATGTACCTGGGATTATAATTCTCTAAAGGACTATTTTGGACCCAATTGCTTTATTTTCTCCTTAATGAAAATTCCTCAGTTAAGCACCCTGTACCACCAAAAAAAAAAAGTCACAAGACCTCTCTCCAGAGTGAGCCTGGAGCAGGTGAAAAGCTGTGTTTGTCAAATCAGACAGCCAGCTACACGTTGCATTTATACCACCGATGGTTGCTGGGGGATGTTGTTTCCTGATGGGGTTTGAGTCTAGATGCTCAGGTATGTGCAGTCTGCAGCTGTTCATCATCACACAGAGCTCATAAAACAACTGGATTGGCCATTTACAGAAATAGGAAATCTTTCCAAATTTATATGATGTACTGCATTTTGTAATGTGTGTGTATATATATAATTTTTTTAATCATTCTTCTGAGAAAAAAGCAGAGGTACGGCCCTAAACCTTTCTGATGCGTACCTGTAAAACTTCCTAGTAGGACTCAGTGTTCTCTCTGTACGACTGTCCAAAATCCTATGATCCACATGTTAATCATGACAAAAATAGGAAAAAATAACCCCTAACAACTTCAGAGGTAAAATTAACATTTCCCACTCCCCAGCCTGATTATTATCTTCCATCTTCCCTAGAACTGACATTTTATACCTGTTCTAACTCACATTTCTAATTTTTAATTTCATAACTGGTTTTTAATTACTTTCAAATTGAGTATCGAATGCCTTCAATACTCAACCTTTAGCTGCCTTCTCACCTGCGGCACCAGCATGAGAAGCTCTGCACAATATCTTGTGAGCAAGATCAATTAAACAACATTTTTCTTTTCTGCTTGACTTTATCCCTGTTCTAATCTACTTACTAAATTCTCTTCCATGAAGCTCATGCACAAATCCCAACCACAAGCATGTGTGAAGGACCAGGCTAAAAGCACACGGAGAGGAGGATGGAGAGGAGGATGGAGAGCAGTCTTCCCCAGGGATGAAGAGCTCGTTTGCACGGACACGCTAACAGCGGCTGCCATCTGCCGGCTAGAAAGAAAAATAAAATTTAAAAAGTCATCCCTCAAAGCAACCTCTTGATCCGAATGCAAACTTTGACATACTCTTTTTGGCCCGCTGGAGCAAACGTGTCTGCTCTCGGCTTCCTCGGACACACCACGCTGTGCAAGGACTCGCTCCTGCACCGAGCACACAGTGCAAGAGGCGAAGCTGCGAGGCTGCAGAGTGGAGCCAGCCCCGACTCGCTCGCATGGGAGAAATATGAGCGTTGGGTGGATTCTAGGGTACCGCCAACATCTTCTGTTGTAGCTCATAGGACACCTGAAAGATCCAAACCTGAGCCTACAGTGGAAGAAAAACTAGCTGCCCAGCTAGTTTTGCTTTATTGGAAGAGTTTCCAGGCAGCTAGAAGACAGAAAGTGGCACTATGAAAAGGGATGGGTGAAATACCATGAACAGATCTTGAAAAGCAGCATGCACAAACCCTGTTTATGTATCACCTCCCCTAGCTACTACCCCTACCAACTCACAAGATACCATGGCAGCATAAACCACCTCTCTGCTTCATCATCCTCTGTCCCTTCCCTCCTTCCACAAGTTTGTAAGTAAAAAACTAAAGTTATTAATTTAAATAAATTAAAAATATTAAATGTAAATAAAAACTTTCTGCATTACCTTCACCCAGAGGCAGACTCATCTGAAACCTTTTAAGATTTTCCTAATTGCAGCCTTTATGTCAACTACCATGTATTAATTCATATGTAAATAAAAAACAATAGGCTCTGAAATAAAAAAGAAAAAGGGGCAGGGGGGGGAACTGTGACAAGCATGGTGCAGGCGATGTATGTGCTTTGGCTATCCCAAGGAAAGCCACTGAGGAACACACAGCTTACCTCGCTACGGAACTAAGCAGCCTCTCCCACACTTCAGCCCCACTCTCCTTTGGCTTGATTGTTCAACAGCCAGCTCAAACACAGGCTTACCTTGCATTAAATCCTCCTTCGACGACAACTTTCTCTTTCTTACTAATGGAAATCAGACATTAGGTATCAGAACAAAAGACTAAGTCCACCCCTCCAGAGTCTCAGTATAATTTTTTGATATTTTACTTTTAACCACAATTTACCATATTTTACCTCAGCTCTGAGTGGAGAAACCCAACAACCTTTACTGATGTTAACTCTGACTCTGAATAAAATTATAACACTCATTCAGGAATTAGCTTCCACAGCAAAGCAAATGCTGGCTCCTGCAACATAGTTTTCCAGCAGCTTTTTTTTATTCTTGGTGAACACAGTTAAATATGCATCACCTTGTAGATGTTCATCAAATGACATCTCCCACACCAAAGGTCCTCCACAAAGAGACTCTCCATATTCTCTTAGGTAAAATAGGCTGCTTTTACACTTCACTGTGATTTTAAACACAAATTTCAAACATTTTATATGATTTCAAACCATCCCCACGTAGAAATCTCTGCCAAAGGACCAAGGGTCCGCACAGTCCTGATAAGTATTCGCTGGCTTTTACGCGATGGTTTGTACTGGGGAGCTTCTCTGGAGTCACCGTTATGGACACTTGGATGTGGAGACAGTCATCGAAGCTCCACACAAACCAGTCAACTGGAGGTTAAAATAGCAGGTAGGGTTTATTAAAAAAATGAAGGGCATGGGTGTCACTGAGCAACCGTAAGCAATTAGTAGGTCCCATGCACTGCAGTGCTCTCTTTGGCAGATACACTGTTTATTTCTTCTTCTTCAAAAGAGGAAGAGATTGCAGTGAAAACATAATTTAATAGAGTCAAAGCAAAAATCAAATCAATAAAGAGAACCCCCCCACACTATTTTATCCACTTTGCAAGAACCCCACAGGTTCTCCCCCAGCCCTTAGCAGTCCTGCAAGCCAAGGACTTATCCATCTCCTCCCTCCCAGGTGGACCAATGACTTTAATTCCCCATCCCCACCTCTGACACACTACTCAAACCAACCCACTCAAACTGTCAGAATAGTCCAGCTTAATTTTCTCCAAAAGAAATGGAGAGAGAAAAGGAGGCAACCACAGCAGGAAGAAAGAAAGATAAAAAGTAAAACCAGACAATACAGTGTTGCACTCTGGACCTGCATCCCATTCCCTCCGGTGACAAACTACAAATATGTCCGCAGCTAGCAGATGAGCAGATGATCCAGAGTAGCTGTTCTCTTAAAAAAAAAAGAAAAAAAAAAAGAAAAAAAAAAAGAAAAAAAAAAGAAAAGAGAAAGTACAGAGCATCACAGAAGCCAAAAAGGCTGTAGAAATAGTCTATACATGGAGAAGGAATGAACAGGTTTTCACTCCTGAGACCCCTAGCATTTATAACTTTAACAAGAATAAGGCACCAAACACTGTATTTTTCCTCTGCACATCAGTAAAAAGCTAAAATAATTAGGATCACCAGTCTAGGATCTTGCCTCACTACGTAAGTGCCCAATGTATTAGGAATTAAAAAAAATTAAGGTGGATTTCCTTGAATACCTGACAATGTTGCAGCAGAAAGTGCATTCAAGTAATGACCCCAACGTGTGTTGAGCCTGTTTTTACTTTAGGCAAATGCTATTTTCTCATCATCTCAGCCTTGGGAAGTTTACAGAGAGTAGTAAATCTTTACACATCAGTACCTAATCAACATACTCTGTACTCCTCTCCCAAGTCAAAATATACTTTACTGCTTCAAAGAAATCCAAAAAGACAAAAACATGTCAGAATAGCCTTAAGTAAAGAAGGCTACAGGAATTATTACCTTACTCATCATAGATTCATAAATGACTACTATGTGCAAGTTTATGTCAAAATATGGCTGCTACTGGCTCTATCCGGACAGTTCATGGGCTCCATAGTACCACCAAGAGGTTCAGTAAAGTTTCTGGAATAGACATTCAAACGCAGGGTTAGGGGGGAGTAATAAACAGACAATCAGTCATTTTATGAAGATTTTAAACTAGAATTGCTTATATTTTGTCTTTTAAATAACAATTGGCTTTGGTTTCCTAGTCAAGAGGGACAATAAACTAGACTTCTGTCTTCATAAAGAGCATGACGCTAATCAAGTCAATCTGCAGCACACATGTATATTTTTTGACCACACTTATGTTTAAGTTACCTTTAAAAAAGCAGCCCTCATGCCTAAGTAGTTAATAAAAAGTTGCTCTGGGTAAAAAGTCATGTGTTTTTCAGTAGGGTATTAGAAGTTCTTGTGGTTTCTGAATAAGCTTTTTTTCCATTTTTCCAAGCAAGGTGTCTGATCCCATTGTCTTCAATGATGCTTTGTCTGACTGAAATCTATGGTTAACAGAGTTGGTTCACCATACAGTTGGACACATGCAGTTGAGCAGCAACACGGTCTACCTTTTCATCATACAGGTGGAAAGACTCTCACAGTAAGTGAAAAATTTCTTAAAATACTTAGTCATGCAACTTCCATCAGACTGATACAAATCACCCGGTTAACACTCTATTTTCAAGAATAATAAATACATTTAGAAATTGAAGCCCTTGAGTTAGAAACAAAGACATAATGTGGCTTCTCTTGTCTGTTCTGCTCTTTGATAACAGTCACAATCTCTTTAGACTGCTGGTATATTTACAAGATTCAAACCAGCCAACTGGTGACTTTACAGTAACAAGTAAGATTCCCATTCATTTAATTAAGTAACACCCAGCACCACCACTATTATAAACTCTAGTAAGCATCTCTGCATAGCCACAAATATCTAAATACCTTTTGAAAACCAGACCAAGGTTCTCAGGAATGCTTAGAAAGACATTCAGAATAGAATAATATAGACAGACTATCCAAATCCCACAGCCAGGAACACAAATCACTAAATAGCTAGGGTCAAATTCCCCTTTGCTCAGAGGGCCTGCAGCAGTTTGCATCGCTTAGCCTTATTCAAGTCCTCAAAACAGAGCTCACATTAAAATACATTAAATGGCTGCAAGGCAAATTAATACAATCGAGGCCACATAAGGAACAGAGCTGCCAAATAAGGTAGTTCCTTGTCCATGAAGTATTTTCCCATGAATTACAAAGTTTTGGTACAGCAGGGTGAATTTTTAACAGTACACTAACCACAGAAAACTCTTATCTCCAATAGCATCGTCAAAATGCATCTTAAAGACCATTTAAGCTTTAGGTTTGCATAATTTGTTTGTTTTTTTTAAAGCAGAGTGCATGCAAATTGCTTGCAGCACTTCTACTTGGGGGATTATTTCAACAGCCTATTCTTGGGTAGCCGACTTGTAATGTTTCAACGTGCGAGCAGAAGGATCAGTAGCTTTAACCCATCGTGGCATCCAGTAGTGGGGCAGCCAGTTGCTTTGCCCTGAGTAGTGTTTTTCAAAGATCTGGCGGTAGTAATAACTTTCTTTCGTTTTAGGAGGATTGAAAGGGTATTTCTCCGCTGCCTTTTCCAGTAGAAGGTCATCAACCTATAGACGTAAGCAAAACTCAAGTTAAGCTGCAAATACATTCAACTTTTACAAGTCAATTTGCTGCAAGTTAAAGACATACAAGGATTCACCAACCACTGAATGCCCATAGGTTTAAAAAAAAAAAAAAAGTCTATTCTAGAGGCAGAGGTTTCTGACAGGCGAATTTTTGTCATAGGCTCCCTTGACCTTTATGAATACATAACTTTATTTCCAGTGCTGTTAATATTACTCTCTGCATTACATGTGAAGCCCATTCCTCTTTGGGTTACAATCACCTTTGTTAGTAAGGTCACAAAAACTTCTTTCCTGTCCTTCTCTTTGCTGTAAATCAACAGGAACAACTTAAAGCAGTCTTTTTGCCATGTAAGTGGCTTCCTGTTTTTTTTTTTTTCAGCTCACAGAGAGCTGTTGACTCTGCTTGTGTAACCAAGCTCTTAGCAACAAAAGACCTGGGATGCAGAAGCAAAGACACCTTCATTTGCTAAGTTGGCTAAGAAAGGGAGGATGAATAGCTGCACCAGTTGAGGCAATTTCTAAAGCAGCTAGCTTCCACTGCCAACATGCTGTCTAACTCCTCACAGCCATGAAATAAATTTGCCCCTGCTACACCAACACAGGCTCAGTACAGGCAGCACAACACTGTTGCCTGATCCTACTACTTTCTTGCCTGTGGATCTAGAGAAAGAAAATGGGAAACAAGCAGCTGGTGGTAGGGCAGACAAGCACCCGTGCACAGGCCAGACTACATGTATTTCTGTAGAACAGAGCTCTGGTGTAAAGTGGGTGTTATTCCTTCCTCTCCATGATTAAACTACCTCTGTACACAAGAGATGACTATCCTTTGTCCAAAGCCAAAATGCTGTAAGTCTTCATTGGCTAGCAATGCAAGCAGAGGCTTTAAAAAGCAAAAGGGCTAGGGCTTAGCTAGGCATGGCTGGGAAAAACAAATGACAAACAAGAAAGGACATTATAAAGTCATTATGCTGTTATTCAGCTGCAGAGTAAGTTCATGCAAGTGCCTTCAGCTGAAGCAGCTGCTTTGCACGTAACCCTGAAATTGTGTTTGCCGACACACAATCTAATTTGCAGTCCAGATACTTACATTTCCTTACACAGTCATTTCTGTCAGGCTCTAGCATTTCTTTGTATCTAGGATCTCAAATGCCTTTAACCAACTCAGATAGCTAGAAGGCTGTTGATTAAAGTTTATCTTGCTCATTTCACCATGAAGCTCAAGTTACTGTCATACACAGATTTATTCCCCCAACTAAGCATGTGAGCTGCCTCCCCTTGGCAGCCATATCTAACACACTTAAACGTGAAAGGAAAAAAAAAAAAAAAAAAAGTGGTATTGTACCTGTTGATCAATATAGTCCTGAAGAATAGAAAACCAGGATTTCTTTATTGATGCTATACCATCACTGAAAGCTTCTTTGGGTCTCCAGAGTATTTCCTTGGGAAGCAAGTTGGAATCTTCAAAGGACTGTCTTAAAAGGTATTTTTCAATTCCATTCTGTTTGCAGAACAACAAACAAATGTCGTGAGTCTCGGGAACTGCAGTACAAAGATCTGGCTTTAAACACTTAAGAAATGGTTTCCTTTCAGAAGGTCTGGTGAGAAAAGGGTTCCCAGTAGTCAACAATCCAGCAAAATATTTAAGAGCATGCTTGACTTTGGGTAGAGGACTTAACCATTGAATTCAGGAATTTGGTCATGCTTAGAACACCTATCAGGGAATTTGTAAGCTTACACTTGGGTCCAACCCTAGTTTTACATACCTTTGGGATTCGCAGTTCCGCTGGTAGAGATAAATAATAAGAAGTAAACCGATGATCCAAAAATGGAACTCTCAGTTCAAGACTAAACAGGGGAAATAAATAGAAAAGATAGTGAATTAATCCAACAAGTCATCTACTTACAAATTCCGTAACAGTTAAGCCTTCCCTGTCTTTCACATAAAGACAAGGTTTTCTGCTTTTACTTAGAAGAAATTTAACTTGCATATTCATGACTAATTGCATGTAATTAATCAATTTAGAAAGTTAAGTATATAGTCAGCACAGATTAAATAAAGGTCTCGATGATTTATGATGCCATCTGCTGGACAGCTGCTAGTACAATGAATTTAAAGACTACAACCTGCAGGATTTGCAACAACTGTTGTTCCATGTAAGCAAAAACACATTGAAAAAAAATCCTGTTGCCCCCAGAGAACTACCAAGTTGCTCACTGGGTTTTGCATCAGGATTTGTAAAGATGTCACAGAACCAAGCAAGGATTTCTGCTGTCATTTCTGAAATCCACATTTGTTTGTGTTTTCAAGAAACAACGAAAAGGAGCCCGCGTGGACACCATTAAGCTATTGACTACTGATCCTGCAGCATTTGCACAGCAAGTTCTCTCCTACACCACTGGCAGGTATGCACATACGAAGTCTTCCTGCTTACATTCTCTTATGCATACCACGGCTTCTAAGGACACTGAGGGCAACAAATAAAATTACAGTAACTGTGTCTTTGGTAGGAAGAAACCCTCTCAGTGTGTTTCCTCAAGAGACATTATGCTGCCCAGCTTCAAAGTCAAATGGAGATGTTATATGGCATTCTCATAATTTCATTGTCTCTGTAGCTTCTCCTCTGATAAAAAGCTTCAACTGCTTCAGGTAATACCCACCTTACCAAAAAAAAAAAAGCATCATCATTCAGCAATCAAGTACTGAGGCTCGGTTTCCACATATACTGACAAGACTTGCATTGCAAGTCTTTCTCTACAGTTATTTTTTTCTCACTGATAAAGGTACTTCCATCCTTTCTCCCATCATTTCCTCTCTACTCTTAATTCCTCTCCCTTTTCTCCATAAATCTGAACACCTTAAATTCAGTTTTAATTTATTAACACAAGGGTACTTTCTTCCTAGCAGTGCTGTGAAGCTGACCCCAGCTTCTCTTCAAGAAATGGCAACTCTCCAAAGAAGAGTGGCCAGAGTGTGATATTAAACAGCCTTGAATATATGGCCAAACTTTTCAGTGCAAAACAAATTATGAGGCAAATGGCAGGTCTCCTGCACCCTGTCCATCTTTTATTTAGGAAAGAAACATAAGAAGGTTATAAAAATCTGGGCAAGTTATTTTGTGACAGGATCAATATACAACACAAGTTTCCTGATCGGTAAGTGGTTTGCTTTGCTAAAGGTACCATCTTTTTCTCATCTATAGCCAGCTTCCCAACAATATTCTTATAATTCATGTATTTCTTTAGTAAAATAATGCTATTTTCTGCAGTGTACAATTTGGTGATTCTTTAAGGTATCAGTCACACAGACTGTATCCTAAGATCTCTTTATTACAGTCAGCTACCTGAATCAATGCACATACTTTTCTCTTTCTGTTTTTCAATTCTTCATATGCATGCTGATTATCAGATTCAACATTCCTCTTTGTCTAAACATCAAAAAACCCAAACTCAAATACAACTTTGCCTTCCTTCCTTAACTCTGCATATTTGTATTTCTAAGTCACTGCTTCTATAAAGACCAGTACAATCCCAGACAAAAGATATTTCCTGCATCAGTTGGCAGCACAGTGGGCTCTACAATCACAGAAGACTGGATTAAATTTTGCAGTGTGGTTTCCTGTTGCTCAAATTCTTTCAGGCTACAACTTCAATTTTAAAATCATAGAATCATTTAGGTTGGAAAAGACCTTTAAGATCATCAAGTCCAACTGTAAACCTAGCACTGCCAAGTCCACCACTAAACTGTGTCCCTAAGCACCACACCTACGGGTCTACACCAGGGATGGTGACTCAACCACTTCCCTGGGCAGCCTGTTCCAATGCCTGACAACCCTTTCAGGGAAGAAATTTTTCCTAATATCCAATCTAAATCTCCCTGGCACAACTTGAGGCCATTTCCTCTCATCCTATTGCTTGTTACTTAGGAGAAGAGACTGACACTGACCTCACTACAACCTCCTTTCAGGTAGCTGTAGAGAGCGATAAGGTCTCCCCTGAGCCTCCTTTTCTCCAGGCTAAACAACCCCAGTTCCCTCAGCTGCTCCTCATAAGACTTGT